GTTTCATTGATTTTTCTCTATTATCTATTAATTTCTGCTCTAATTCTTATTTCATTCCACCTGCTTGTTTCAGGCTTACTTTGCTATTTTTTTTCCAGTCTCAAAGTCAAAGGTTAGTTAGGTTGTTGATTTGTGATCTTTTGTAATGCAGACAGTAGCAGCTACACACATTCCTCTCAGCACTACTTTGGCTGTATCCCATCATGCTTTGGAACATTGCCTTTATTTGCGTTCATCTCAATGTGTTTTCCATTTCCCTTGTGATTTATTTTTTGGCACATTGTTATTTAGAAATGTGATGTTTATATTCCATGTATTTGTGAACTTTCCCAATTTCCTTATTATTTTAACTGTGATTATTTTGCATGATCTTAATCTTTTTCAATATGAGGCTGTTTTATGACCTAACACATGGCCTATCCTGAAGAATGTTCCATGTGCTCTTAAAAAGCAAGCAAGCATGTCTGGTCACAAATGAATTAAAAAGAAAACAGTCCTCAGTCAGCTTGGTTCCATGCTTCAAGCACCATTAAGGTTTAAACTCTCCAGGGTTTAAATCAGGGATTCAACACCAGGGAAGGTGACATCTCTTTCAGAGGAAACTCTCATCTTACTTCATGTGTTCGAAGTAGCCCGAGGTTAGTTAGAAACAATACTTACCAACCTCATTCGCATGATGGCTTACCAAAAGTGCTAATATGCACAAGGCATACTGAAGAAAACAGAAAAGGGACCTTATGGAACTTAGGCTCTTCCCAACAATTGTCTAACTACACAAAGAGGTAAGAGGAATAAATAAGCACACTCATAACTAGAGTGACTCTATGTCCCAGGTTGCCTCCTGTCCCATGAATATAAAATAGTTCCCACTTTTCCAAAAACCTTCCAACTTGGATAATGGATTGCAGTTACTCTGTTACCAGCCACTGCTACCAGGTTGGGAAGTTCTGAGCAATACCAGGTGGTTCCTTCATTTCACCAACATCTTTCACGAAAACTCCAATGCCCAGTTCTACCCTCCAGAATTCTGGCCTAGGCAATTTCATGTTAAAAAGGTCTAGCTGATTCTATGGAGCAAGGGTTGAGAACCACCACGCCTAGTCTGAACAAAGAACCCATTATGCAATAGCTTATCTACTTTCCTCAATTTAAGCACATTAAGTAGGGAGAAACAAACTCTCTTTAGTTAGTGCATTCACACTTACTCCTCTCCTGCCCTACCCAACCCATGTTTCTCTCCAACCACCCTAGGAGTTAGTTAACCTTTGACTAGTCCCCACTGCTCAAAACTGGTGAGGCGTCCACGTTTCTACTTCCTCACTTTACATGGCTTGCTCTTACTGGCACTAAAGAGCACCTGTTGATCCCTACCTACCTTCTAGAAATCGCTGCTGTACTGATGGTACTGTTTCTTGCTTTCTAATGTTGCTATGCCTACCTGTAGAGGACCTTTTCTAATGTGTTCTGTTTTTCATTTTAGTCACTTCACTGAAATTTTGGAAGAGAGAAAGAGGGCTTACTCTCACCATTTTCGAACTTTTTTTCATCACTTGTCTTTATAGAGAGCAATGGCCAATTCTAATTATTTAGTTATGTACATTTTCTTTCTTATTCTTCCTACTCAGCAACAACCTGAATCAACAATCAAAACCATTTTTCATAAAAAAAGAGGAACACTTCCCTTCTGAATCCAAGACACCACTTCAGTAATAGTAGTGGCTGAGAGCTGTGGCACGTCTCACCACCCATTCAGTCATTCAGGCTCTAATTACCGTACAAATGACAAGTAGGAGCCCTACAAAATTAAAAACTGAAGGTGAGGGCATAGCTCTGGTGAAACATTCTGAGTTGCTGAAGTCTAATTAATATTTGATGCTCAACTTGTATAAATTCAGATGTTATTCAAAATTAAGACAAAATTCCTACACTTCTAACAAATCTCTGTCTTTACCTAAGTAGTCTTATAGTCAGGATACAAATTTCAGCTTGGAAAAGCTATTGGCACCTCTAAGTATCTGCCAGTAACATTCCCGTTCACCTCACTTACACAAGTATTGACGGTATGTTCTGACTGGGGTGGCCAAAGGGAAAAAAACACAAATTGGGCAGAATGGTCATTATGCTTCAACAATTCCTGAATAATTTACTTTAAAAAATGGAGATTCTTCTCATCTCTAAATCCTACTGATTTAATGCACAGAAGTTCCAGTTAGTAAATATACAATCTTAAAGATGGGTATGACCAAACCAAGTTTTTTAATGTCAAGGCTGATAGTTGGCAGCCTATTTAAGGTCAGTCCAATCTATGTTTTCCCTTCCTTCTTCCCCTATCATGTACATGATTAGTGAATTATGTGAAGAGGGGGAATGAAAATGGATGAATTTTAAATAGACAAAAAATTCAAGTATTTCCTTCACACTACATATGTAAATCAGAAACCATTATATAAGGATTATTTTGACAATGTTTGGATGATTCTTAAATGTTTAGCTTATTTAAAATTCTTATTTAAGATTCACTGCATCTAGCTCCTTAGACAGTAAAATACATATAAATATGTATCTAATTTCTTAAATGTAACCAGTCCTGTTATCTGTGGATTCTGTGTCCATGGGATAACTGCATTAAAAATATTTGAAAAATTATTGTTGCTGCTGTGTACTATATAGTTAAGCCTAGATGGTTATGTCTACACTGAATATGTAGTTTTTTTTTGTCATTACTCCCTAAACAATACAGTATTAATAATTATTCACTTCAGTGTAACTACTTCATGTAAGGGACTTGTGGGGTGGGGGGGAGGGTGGTATCCTGGAACCAATCCCCTAAGTACAGAGGGTCATCTGCACTAGAAAAGTTTGTGCTTTACATATTTTTTATTACATATGTGTAAATGATTGCCAAAAGGAATTTATTTGTAAACAATGTGAGAAACTGATACTATGTATAGTTTTATGACACTTTGTTTGGAAAGTTTTACAAATGCAAGTAATTATATTTATGTCCACTTTCTTAGTCTTTCTTTTCCAAAGCTTCAATTTTAAAGAGTATTACTGTTTTAAAATTTCAACACAGTCTGTGCTAAATAACATTTTCAAATTTTTCCATAAGAGACAAATAAAGAGAAGGAAGAAGGGTGGCTGTGAGAGAGGAAAGAGAGAGAATATTCTTAGCGTTAATATTAATAAAATTGAGAAAAACAATGGATACTATCGCTTAACAATATAAAATCTTCCTGGTGGTGACTGATTAATTTTAGGTACAGAAAATGTCAGGAAAAAAATCAGTAAAATTTGCTAGGTACTTTAAATCAATTTATTTTAATTCAGAAATTTAAATACACACATTCATAGGATCTATAAAAATATACACCTCGTTTTTAAAAAATGGCATCTTCAAGAAAGGAGTTAGCCAAAAGCAATAGCAAAATTACATGATTACAGCAGGCTGAATCTTCACACAATATCCTTTATTTTTTTTTAAGATTTTATTTTATTTTTAGAAAGGGGAACGGAAGGAGCAACAGAGGGTGAGAAACATCAATGTATGGTTGCCTCTTGCACTCCCTGTACTGGGGACCTGACCCAAAACCCAGGCATGTGCCCTGATGGGGAACTGAACCTGAGACCCTTTGCTTCGCAGGCCCGCATTCAATCCACTGAGCTATACCAGCCAGGGCCAATATCCTTTAAATAAACAACAGAAAGAAGAATTATCACACAACCCTCTTCAGTCATCTAATTATTTCAAACCTAACACTGGTACACCAGTGAACAAAAGTACAGAAATCTGACTCTGAACACATGCTCAGAACAGCATAAGCACAGCTTTGCTTCATTTCTTCAGCATCTTTCCACCTAGCACTGTTCTTCAGCTCCTACAGCTAAATTATTTACTAGTAATTAATTAGTAACAAACTACTAATTTGTTAATTTGTCCTAAAAAAATTACTGTGTTAGGTCAACCTAGTCTAAAAAGAAAGGCTTTATATGAGTTGCTACTAGTTATTGACATAAGTTCTTATTCTTTACAAAAGAGTTTAGCCCTGGTCAGGTAACTCAGAGCATCATCCAGATATGCCAAGATTGCGGGTTCAGTCCCCAGTCAGAACACATACAAGAATCAACCAATGAATGCACAAATAAGTGGAACAAGTCAATTTCTTTCTGCCTCTCCCCCTTTCTCTAAGATCAATAAAAATTTTTTTAAAAAGACAATTTGCATATATTGTTAAACTGGAAGGTATTTGCTACATGGCATACCAATCTTCAACATGTACTGAAGTTTACTAAGGTGTGGAATCAGATTTTCATAATATTTAAAGCATTAATAATGACATTCATTTAGGAAAAAGAAAAACCAAATAAAAAATGGTATCATAAAATGGTTCTGCTTTAGCTCTTTTCACTGTTTCACACTTTTGGGGCAGTACAGGGGAAGAGAGAGAGGGAGAAAATGTTGATGTGGAAAACAATGATAAGGTGCCATAGGTACCCTGAACCCACAACCCAGGCATGTGCCCCGACCAGGAATCGAGTCAGTGACCTTTCACTTTGTGGGATGCTGCCCAACTGTACCACACTAGTCAAGACACTATTTCATACTTTTTTTCTCCTATGTACTTGAGAGCTTACTAGACATTGAACTTCCTAATTGGGAAAATATGATTTGAATGTATTCTGTATGAAATAGTTTAGGTAGTTGAATGCTGAGATATTGAAAGAAGGTAATTTTAAATGTGTTTTATACAACACTTGTCTTCCAGATGTCTACAAAACTCATTTCTCAACCTTACCTATCCTATAATATTAACACATACTGACTCCTATGTGCTCCCTGGGCTCACCTGATACACAGAACACCATAAATGACTTGAATGATTTTCACCATTCTCCTAAGTACAGTACACAATCAGTACCATTCTAAATGCCACATGGAATTAGAGCTTAACTTCTCCCAGAAACCCAGTTAAGGACGACTGTGACAGACACCAGCACACCTCTTCTCCCCCAGCCCCTCTCCTCATGGGGTCTATCTAACAGCAGACTTTGTCCCATATTCATAACCACAGGAGAAACTTGTTTGAAAACACCCAACTTCAATTTTAAGCTTCCTATTAAGTTTCACTTTTCTCTTTAATCCATAGTCCACACCTTTATCAACTTCAGTATAGAACAAGGCATGACTTTTCACTTATTTTCTATCCACAAACAACAAAAATCTTCAAATTTTTCTGGAGATCTGGAATTGAGAATTCCTCAATAGTTTGTGCAACACAGGGTACATATAAATTTTGAGTTACCCTATTACTATGAACTGATGATGAAAGATGAATAACTTTGATCAAAAAGGTGGTGTGAGTTCTGAAAACTTTTGCTTAACTCTCTTAAGAGGATAAACAAATGCTAAAAGATGGTAAGGTTTTTGCGGTATGTGCTAACTGGAAAACTCTTAAGGTTCATTTTATGAAGGCATAGCAGATAATTTAAGAGATTCTCATTCCACACCAGATGGAACTCTTTTATTATGACACAACATAATTTGAAACAAGATTATTTTTCTTGCGTGTTAACACTGTGGGACAACGGTGTGGCTTTTGTGATTTGACCTCTTTCCTCTTAAAAACAACGCTGACAAATTCTAAAATAAGAACCTCTGAGTCCGTCAGAATACCTATCCCAACACATCGATGGACTGGAACGCTTGTCACCCACACTCTGCTGCAGGCCCTGGGTTGGCAAACTATTGCTATAAAGGGTCACAAAGTAAACATTTTAGATTTTGAAGATTTTTAGATAATTGCTCCATAGTCTCTGGAGCAATTATTCTACTCTGTTCCTGGTGCACAAAAGCAGCCATAAATGAAAAATAAATGAATGAGCATGGCTGTATTCCAATAGGACTTTATTTATAAACATTGACTTTCATGTTAATTTTCATGTTTTAAAATATGTTTTAACCATTTAAAATTGTAAACAAAATTCTGAGCTCACAGGCCATGAAAAAGCAGGCAGTGGGAGGAACTGGGCCCAGGGGCCAGAGTTGGCTGTCACCTGTATGTCTTTCATGTCCTATAAAATGTTTCAGAACAATAAGTTCCAAGTCCAGAGACTTTGGAGACTTGTTTTTGGATTTCTCATTTTAAAATTTATCAGACAAGTTCTCTACTTTCTGGATAAATAGTCACATGAGAGAAAAAATAATTCAGAATACATATCTCTACTTAAAAAGAAAAAAAAGCTGTAAAACAAATGTTTCACCTTTAACATGTAATTAGGAAACAAAAATTTAATTCTATGCAATATAAAATATGCACAGGTTTAGAACATAATGTCTTAGTTTTTACTTTAGAAAAACAGACAATGAGGAAAAGGTTTACAAATCTCTCCAACTTTTATACAAAAACTTGCAACTGAACCCAGCAAGTCCTTGCCTGTACAACCATTAGCCCTGCATGTAAATTATACCTACGAATTAGAATTTACCTAAATGAGTTCTGGGTGCTCTTTTAAAAAATGCACTATTCATCATAGAACACGATGGCTCTACAATTTGGGACACTCCTGAACAGGAAACCCTGCCTCCATAATATAAGGAGACAAGAATATCCTTCCCACAGTCATCAAGTATTATAAAAAACCTTCACAGTCTGAGTCACCTTTATCAAAGGTAAAATGGTTACTGATGCACTTCATGGATTATTTTGATCCTTTGCAGTTTCTAAACAGAAAATAAACTTCACACGAACTTTTGTATGTTTGAGTTTTCCAAAGTAAGATACCAATACAAAATGTATTGGACTGGCAGAAGTCCATGGCATAAAGAAAAAGGAATTAAGTATAAAATGTTTACCAACTTTATCCTTCTAATTTTCTAAGAATTTCAGACATGGACACCTAATTGGTTTCTTGTGTCTATCCATTACGACCATAACTCAGTCTTCTATTTATACTCCTCAGTGCTTTTTGCTGGGGGCTTCACTTTGCGACGAAGAAGATCTTCACGTCCAACTTCAACCATTTGTGCTTCCCAAGATTTGATTTCATTAAAATAACGAACTTTATCATCTTCGGCAAGTTGAATATATACCTGAGAAAAAGTGTAGTTGTTAAAATAATTTTAGAAGAATTTTTGCCATTAATTTCTGGAATGCTTCCATATATACTATAAAAATTACCTTACTCCTCTACATGTATAAAGGGGGACTGAGGAAGAAAGCTTTGTGAGACAAAAATTAGATGAGAAGAAGGTAAGAGACAAAGATTCTGTATTGAGTTATTACAACTTCAGGGCTTGGGAACGTGGGAAAGGGAGGGAGGCACAGTGCGACTGGCACTGGATACACTGGACACTCAACTCGGTGTGACATTGCTTTGAATACCAATTTTATTTGCAGTTAAAAACTTCCAAAAGAAAAAAGCTGAACTGATTCTAAGAACAGAAAATTATTTTAAAATACTCTCACTGTGTTATTAGTAGTGTAAAGTTGTTGTCACATGAATCAAGCCTTGCCCTAATACATCCTCTCATAGATACTCTAGGTACTTGAGATTAAAACCATACTTACTTGCTTTTGAGAACTAGTAAGATTTTTCCAGCTTTCATTTACAGCCTTCAGCCTTAACTGTAAAACAGTACATGTTTAAGTACCAGATACATGAACTTTAGTGATTAAAGAAAAATTTTTTTATTACTCATTTCAACAAAAACTCAGATATTAAGAATCAGAGGTAAAGCCTCATCAATTCCTATCTTTTCCTTCTAAATTAAACTATTAAACTTAAAATACACAAATGACTGGAATATATATCTGTTACTGAGATATAATTGACATAAAACATCAGTTTCAGGTACACAACATGATTCAGTATTATTGTATATACTGTGAAATGAACATCACAATAAGCCTAGTTAATAGTGAACATCTGTCAGCATAATTTTTTAAGAACTTCTAAGATATACTCTCTGAGCAACTTTCAAATATGCAATATAGCATTAACTATAGTCACTATGTTGTACACTACAACACTAAGACTTACTTATTTTATAACTGGAAGTCTGTACCTTTGGACCACCCTCACCCATTTTGTCTATCCCCCATCCCTGGCAACCACCAATATGTTTTTTTATCTAAGAGCTCCGGTGATTCATTTTCTAGATTCCACATACAAGTGAGATGATTCAGTATTTGTCTTTCTCTGGTCTGACTTATTTCATTTAGCATAAATGCTTTCAAGATCCAACCATGTTACCGCAATGGTAAGTTTTCTTTCTTTTTATGGTTGATTAATATTCATATTCATATTACCAGTTTCTTTTCTTTAAAAAAAAAAATGGGTCCCTGACTGGCATAGCTCAGTGAATTGAGCGCGGGCTGCAAACCAAAGTGTTGCAGGTTCGATTCCCAGTCAGGGTACATGGCTGGGTTGCAGGCCATGACCCCCAGCAACCGTACATTGATGTTTCTCTCTCTCTGTCCCTCTCCCTCCCTTCCCTCTTTAAAAATAAATAAATAAAATCTTTAAAAAAAAGGTAACTTTAAAAAAAATAAAAAGATCTTTTTTATTAGAAGGACTTTTTATTAAAAGTCCCATTAAAAAATGGGACTTTTTTAAAGATTTTATTTATTTATTTTTAGATTCAGTTTCTATTCCAGTCAACCACTAGTCGCTTAAGCTGCTTCCACATCTGGGCTGTTGTAAACAATGCTGCAATGAACATGAGGGTGTGGGCATTCAGTTAGCTTTTCAAATTAGTGTTTTCTTTTTCTTTGGATATTACCCAGAGGTAAAATTGCTTGATGGATATATGATAGCTCTAACTTTAAACTTTTCAGGAATCTTCACACTGTTTTCCATAGTGGCTTCAGCAATTTACATTCCCACCAACTATGCACAAGGATTTCCTTTACTCCACATCCAACACTGTTGTGACAACAGGTGTGAGGTGAACTGAAGTTCTCATTTGCATTTCCCTGATAATTAGTGATGTTGAGCACCTTTTAGCAATCTTTATGTCTTCTTTGGAAAAATGTCTATTCAGATCCTCTGCCCATTTGGTAATCAGAATTTGTTTTTGCTATTGAGTTGTTTGAGGTTTTTTATATATTTTGGATATTAACTCTTTATTGGATATATAATATGCAAATATTTACTCCCATTCACTAGGCTGCCTTTTTATTTTGTTGATGAGGTTTTATTGTGCAGTATTTATCTTTTTTGGTTCAGAAATACTGATATTCAAGTATATTCTGTTATAGTTTAACTTTAAAGACTAAGTGTTTTTCTTTTCTTCTCTATAACGTTTTACTCTGAAATGTGTGCCAAAGTGTTTAGGTATGGTCATAGGAACAATACAACACCAGCCTCAACTGTATTTAGTTTAACTTAATTGTGGGACTTGGAAAAAGTTTTATTACCTCCCTTAGGCTTGGTTCTTCATCTATAAAATTAAAGGGATACAGGGATTCCAAGGCTGGAAGAGAGGCAGAGAGAAGGGTCAGCGCACCTCACGCTGCTTATGCTGTTGCTCCCAGAGAGCAGAGAATACAGGGGAAAATGGGCAGGTGGAAAACGTGAGGGAAGAACATGGTCTGAAAAGTATCTGTTTAAAGCTAGGAAGATCATCTGTGATTTTAAGAAGTAGAGAGAGAATAACTTTATTGTCCTCAGCAGAACTTTGATTGAATTTTATCTTCATATTGACAAAAACAGATACAAAGGAAGATACCAAGTAGTACCTGAAACTACATAAATATTATGTTTTGGATATTTTAAACTTTAGCAAGTAAATACCTGCTCTAACTCTTAGCTTTGAAAGGAATTACTTTAATGTTTTTGACTCTTTCCTAATTCATCTTTTTCTTATCCATAAAGTTTAACCCATAAAGTTTCACATTCAATGAGTTAAAAAATAATTTATAAAGTTGCAAGCATAAGTAGTCTGACCTTTCACCTAAATAAAATAATTCATTCAAAAAAATTAAAGATAAAAAGATGGTTTTTTCACTCCTAAAATCCATTAAACGGATCCTTCTACTATGTGAGGACAGTGAGAAGGTGCCAGCTAATGAACAGGAAGAGGGCCCTCACCAGAAGGCAACCATGATGGCATCTTGATCTTGGACATCCCAGGCTCCAAAACTGACCAATAAATTTCTGTTCTTCATTTTAAAATTAAAAAACAAACAAACATTAAATGAATAAACAAAAAAATTTAAGGCATGAACCCATATGAACAAAGATAACAGTAGAGAGCATTTCCAATGCAAAACTGTGGAAGCTGAAACGCACATGGAGCCATGGTTCCCAGCTCACCTAACCCACGAAAGCTACTCCCACGTTGACAGTAGGGAAAGCAGTGTTTTACAATGTAGAATTCCAAAGTTGCTCAACAACTGGCAGCACCAGGTAAGTAAAAAATTGAGGTAAGTTCAGGAGGACTGACTGAAAGTGTTTTAAAAAACAGGTTAAATCCTGACTATGGGCATATTCTAGGACATGGCCTCTCAAAACAGTACAATATGAGTTACTCAGTGGATACCAGGTATAGTAAGGGGCAATAATACCATGCTGGAAGCAGGGCGAGTAAGAAAATCTATACTGTTACCCCAGAATGAAAATCAAAAAGGCTAAGAGAAGACAATACAGAAAAGAAAATTAGCATATCAACTCAGAAGATGCATAAAGAAATAATAAGAACTCTAGAGTCAGAACAAAGAAAAAGAAAGGGAAAAACCAAAATATTGATAGGGGACTTAAGAGTGCAAAATTTTATTTTAAGGTAAATAGTTATAAGCCTAGCAAGTAATGTATATGTTAAAGCTTTTGTTTCAGAGACTACAGATAAGGCTCATCCCCGCTCCTGGGAAAACAGCTGACCTCCTGGGCCACTGCTATAGATTACCACCTGGGGACAAATGAAGTCATCCAGGCTTTTGTATTCCAGGGAGATAAAGATGACCACCCACCCCTGGGAAGAGTTAACTGCCCAGGACAGGAATGTTGCAACTTCTTTCACCAAAACCTCCCTCCCCGCACCCCCACCCCCCGAATTTCAAAACCCCTCACATAAACTTGTTTATTCCCTGCTATAAAAACCTTGGCCTGGAAAGAAAAGACAAGATGGTCTGTTAGGGTATATGAACCCACCATCTTCTCAGATCACCAGCCATCTGAATAAAGCACCCATAAAGATTCAATCCCTGTCTCTGCTTATTGGGTTTGGTAGTGACAGGCAGCCTGAACTCTGGTGTCTTTTCCAGTTTCAGCATCATACTCAACTGGCAAAAACTATAAGTGTTCCCCTTAAGGTCAAGAATAAGACAGGAATGTCCGCTTTCACTTCTCTTATTCAACATAGTACTGGAAGTCCTAGCCACAGTAATCAAACAAGAAGAAGAAATAAAAGGGATCCAAATTGGAATGGAAGAAGTAAAACTGTCACTATTTGCAAATGATATGACACTGTACAAATAGAACCCCAAAGATTCCACCAAGAAACTTACTAGGACTGACAAATAAATTCAGCAAAGTAGCAGGATACAAAATAAATATCCAGAAATCAGTTGTATTTTTATATGCCAATAATGAACTACCAGAAAAGGAAATTAAGATAACAATGATATTCACAACTGCTTCAAAAAGAATGAAACACCTAGGAATAAATTTAACCAAGAATGTAAAAACAAAACAAAACAAAAACTGTACTCAGAAAATTGTAAGACACTGAAGAAAGAAACTGAAGATGATACAAATAAGTGGAAGCACATACGTTGTTAATGTATGGGAAGAATTAACATCATTAAAATGTCCATACTACCCAAAACAATCTACAGATTCAATGCAATTCCTATCAATGTACCAATGTTATATTTCACAAAACTAGAACAAATATTCCATGTTGGGAACTGTGTTGCCTGATTTCAGAAGCTGTAACCCCCATGGCTAAGGCTGAGTAAAAAGACCTTGGGACCATAAGCCACTAAGGAGACAAAGCTTATCTTCCCCGCAGGGGCACCACTTCTGCCCCCTTTATTTCACCCTGCTTGGCCCAGGCAGATGACTGGTTAGCCAATGACGGGTAAAATTCCTCAAGGGAGGGACAACCTAAGACAGGCACAGTGGCAAAGGGGCCCTCAGGGAAGGACTTGGGGGATTATATAAAAGGGGTGATGGACCCTTACCCCTTGGCTTTCCAAGGGCCTGAGTCCTTATTCTATCTGTAAAAAGTCTCCTAATCTCTTGGCTGCCTTACTTCCCCTTCCTGACTTAAGCCTATAACAATGCCAGAGGTGAGTGCAGCCCTGTGCTGGAATGGGCAGTTCCTTGGAGGTGATCAGGCCTCAGAAAGAATGCATAAAATCCTATGAAACCTGCTTGCTAAGAATGCCCTCAATTTAATAAGGGTCCAAGCTTAAAATGAGTTTGTTTTCCAAAGTTTCTTGGCCCTTTAGCTATCTGACCCTGACTCAGAATAAGCCCTCACAGTTCTCTGAATGTTATCTATTGTTTGATCATTACTGCCTGACAATGACTGATGAACTTTACCTGTATTCCTCTGTAAATTGAATCCAATAAAAGCCCATTGAGGAAGGGTGAAGGCCCTTCTCGTTTGAGAGATTAGCTACCTTTCCTCCCTAAGCAGATCATGTCTTGGTAGACTTATTCTCATCCATGGTGGACAGGGGGCAGGGCTCAGTATGTGGAGCACCCCTATAATTCCAAAAATTTATATGGAACCACAAAAGACCCCAATAGCAACAGCAATCTTGAGAAAGAACAAAGTTGGAGGAATCACTATAGTGTAAGGACATAGTAATCAAAATAGCATGGTACTGGGATAAAAACAGACATAGATCAAAGGAACTGAATAGAGATCCCAGAATAAACCCATGCCTTCACAGTCAATATTTGACAGAGGGTTCAAGCACATACAATGGGCTAAAGTTAGTTTATTCAATAAATGGTGTTAGGAAAACTGGGTAGATACAGGCAAAAAAAAAAAAAAAAAAAAAAAATGAAACTAGACCACACAAAACAATAAATTTAAAATGGATTAAAGACTTAAATGTTAGACTCAAAACTGTAAAAATCTTAGGAGAAAACATAGGCAGTAAAATCTCAGAGACTGCTCATAGCAATATTTTTTCTGGTATGTCTCCTCAGGTAAGGGAAACAAAACAAATGAACAAACAGAACTACATCAAACTATAAAAGATTTTTGCCCAGTAAATAAAACCGTCAATAAAAGGAAAAGACAACCCACTGAATGGGAGAACACATTTGCCAATGATACATTTGATAAGGGGTTAATATCCAAAATTTATAAAAGAACTTATAAAACTCAACACCAAAAAACGCCAAACAATCCAAGTAAAAAATGGGCAAAGGACCTGAATAGACAGTTCTCCAAAGAGGACATACAGATGGCCAATAGACATATGAAAAGATGCTCAATGTCACTAATCATGAGAGGAATGTGAATTAAAACCACAATGAGATATCACCTCCCACCAAGTCAGAACACCTATCATCAATAAATTACAAATGATGGAGAGGATGTGGAGAAAAGAGAACCTTTTTGTACTACAGATGGGAATGCAGATTGGTGCAGTCCTGTGGAAAGCAGTATGGAGATACCTCAAAAAATTAAAAATGGATCTGCCTTTTGACCCAACAATCCCACTTCAGACAATTTATCTTAAGAAACATGAAATACTAAATCAAAAGAACATAAGCACCCCCTATGTTCATTGCAGCACTATTTACAATAGTGGTAATTTGGAAGCAGCCCAAATGTCCAACAGTAGATGAATGAATAAAACTATGATATATTTGCACAATGGAATACTACTTTGCCATATAAAGGAAGAAAATTTTACCTTTTGTGACAGCATGGATGGACCTAGAGAACATTATGGTAAGTGAAATAAGCCAGAGAAAGACAAATACCACATGACTCCACTCATATGTGGAATCTAATGAACAAACTAGACTAACAAGCAAAATAGGGACAGAATCATAGAGAGCAGGCTGACAGCTCTTGAGGGGGGTGTGGTTTGGGGTAGAAGGATTGAGCAAAAAAAGAAAAAGGACTCATGGACAACAGTGTGCTGGCTGCGGGGGTTAGGAGATGGGTGGTGGGAGGTAGGATGAAAATGTGAAGAGTGGGGAGAGTCCAGTGTTCATCTTAAATAATGGGAGGTAATGTCTAAAGTATAGCTAATGCTTAAAACTGAAAAAAAATCAAGAAATAAAAATATGTTAGAGATATAGAGATGAATACCATAGTAATCAGCTATAAGAGGAAAATCTGCTTCTAGAGTAAGAAATAGGACAGGGTGGTGAAAACTAGTATCTTTCATAACCAGCCTTACTTTGATTCTTTAAATTATAAGGATGGATAACTACTATCTTTTTAATGAATAAAATGACATAGTCAACTTAATTTTCATTTCCAGGGATAGGACCCAGCCATTAAACTTTCTTGGTGATTCCAATGTGCTTTATTTTATTTATTTATTTTATTTTAGTCAGAGTTAAGAACTACTGATGTAGAATTCTCAAGCATATAACCTTCTCATGGTGATAAGAAAACTAAATCCAAAGTAAATTAATGACTGAGCTAATTCCAACTAAAATAGTAAATAAACTTGCATATTAGTAATGTAGGGCCATAGAAACTGAATTTAATACCTCAAAGGGAATGAATTAAGGAAAGTATCTGGCCAAAGAAGATATCACATATACATGTTATTTAATTATATGTTAAACAGGATTGGTGAAATCAACTACAGACCCAAATAACCCAAACAAGCAGAGTGGCAAAAACCTTCATCTCAGATCAACAAGAGACAGAGATTTGAACATACATTTCTCTTACCATATCATATTATAAAAGGAAAAATAGGATTGCCAATTTGGAGCGTATAAGAAGGAAAAAAGACTAAGCTACAGCAGGAATAACAAGCCTTTCCTTCTTTGACACATTCACACAACAACATACACACATATAAGACATTCCTATGGGCATAACTAAAATTTCATTTTATTAAATGATAGAACATGAAGCAGCAGGTTAGGCTCAAATTCCAGTACAAAATATTACAGCTCTACTCTTTTTTTTAAAGATTTATTTATTTTTTTTTTAGAGAGGGAAGGGAGGGAGAAAGAGAGAAAAAAACATCAATGTGCGGTTGCTGGGGGCCGTGGCCTGCAACCCAGGCATATACCCTGGCTGGGAACTGAACCTGTGACACTTTGGTTTGCAGCCTGTGCTCAATCCACTGTGCTATGCCAGCCAGGGCTCTACAGCTCTACTCTTAATCTTACCCAGTGATAGTAAAACACTTACGAACTGCTGAATAAGAAAAATTTTCAAAACTTTAACACCCTACAAACTAGAAAAAAAATTTTAATTAAAAAGGTTGAAAATATACATATTGGCAACTGTATACTCAATTGTACATGGTAATACCAAGGACCTTTCCATTAAAGAGATAAGAAAGAGGGCCTTACTTGTATCTTGTATTTGTTTATAATAGTTTATTACTTTTCCTCACCACCTGACATATGGCACCCCTAAAATCTCCTAAAATATTTTAAAAATTAAAATAAACAAAAATTTAAAACACAAGTGCAGTTCTATTTTACCTGTGAGGTACCATCCTTAGCTTCTTGGAAGCGTTCAGATATAAAAATGTTATAAGCTGAGCGAGGTCTTTTCGGTTTTCCAAGCAGTGTTAACTCCTAAGTAATAAAAATGGAAGAGTTAGATATAGTTTTAACCTCTATGAGACTTAATTTTACTTACAGAAACTGTATTCACTATCATGTATTATGCAGAATGCTCCTTAAAATGAATGTTATGATTCTTACATAAAGTGTGTGATTATTTCCTTCTGGGGTCAGAATTTTGATAGCACTAAGTTTTGAAAATTATAATAGATTTTATGAGTTATTTTCCATACATTTCCTTTACATATTATTTTCAAGGTCTCCATGAACTGAACACATGTACAAATCTTTTTTAAAAGATAAAACAATCTCCTCTGTTTCCAATGAAAAATCACTTTATTTTCTCTGAACATTTCATGAAACTCCTGTAGACTTCACAACTTAATTATTGCCCCTTTTATTTCTAGAATTAACTACTAGGGATTTCTCTCCTAGATGATATGCTTGCAACCTCCTAATTCCCACACTTCTCACCTGATCTTTAACTATTTGGCACTGGCAGTCTTTAATGGGGAGGGAAGGAAAATTCCAACAGGGAGTGGAAAGGGAAATATGAGGGAAAAAATCCTCAGGCTTCGGGTTCAACATGTAAGGAGCTTAGAAGTTGCCACTCCTTCCTCACAAGTGTAGAACTGAACAGCCTGAAAAATCAACAACTCTTCCTGGATCCATGAGAGGACACAGAGCACACTGCGGTTGGCCCCTGAACTGGACACAGACAAGTGAACAGAGTCTTGAGGCTGACCAGAGCAGAGACCCAGGAGGACGTTGCTGTGCGAACCAGGGCTGGGGAGGAAAACCTGAACTGTAATGAACAAACTGCTGGAGGTTCTGTGTGGACAACTCCAAGATTTTTAGGAACACCAGAGGACCCTGTCACAGGAGGGCCCTCATACTAATGTGGGATTTACAACTTCAGGAGCTTGACCAGATCCCCACAAGAAGTATCTATAGAAGTATCTAGAAAAATACATGCTCCACCCCCCACCACTGCTTTCAGCAGGGGGCGGGGACAAGAAGCCATTCTGAAATGTCTGAGCACTCTTTTATTCTTCACAAAGCCTGCCCTTAGGGGCAACTAGTTAATCAGAGCTAACCTTCTATGGTATTATCAGAGCCTAACTGACCGAAGGAAGGAAAATATGCAGGTCTAGCCCACTTGAGCCATCCTATCCCACCAAAGGGGAAGGGAGAAAACTGAAACGCTAGTGCAGTTCACAGAAGAGAGATAGGATCTCTGAAAGACTGGGACCTAATCACAGCGCTAGAGAGTACTTCCCTTGCCCCCACCCTGCCACCATATTAAAGCTTATTTAACAGCAATTCCTTTTACCCAGTACATCAGGTCAAGCTATCAAGAAAAAATTCCAAGACACACTAAAAGGCAAAAAACAGAGTTTGAAGAGACAAAGAAACATGGCAGGGATGTTGGAATTATCAGATGAGGAATTTAAAAACAACAATGATTAATACACAAAGGACTCTAGAAAGCAAGCAAGAACAGATGAGCAATGTAAGCACAGAGATGGGAATCCTAAGAAAGAACCACAAAGAAATGCTAGAGAGCAAAAACACTAACTAAAATAAAGGGCCTTTGATGTGCTTATCAGTAGACTGGACACATGCAAAAGAATCTGATCTAGAGGACAGTATTAGCAAAATCCTTGAAAACACTAAAACAAAGCAATCAAAGACTTAGGGGAAAAAATCCAGAATACCAAGGACTATGGGACAACTACAACAGGTGTAACAGGTATAACAAAAGCATACTGGGAACACCAGAAGAGAAAAGGGAAGACAAGAAATATTTGAAAGGGAAAGCCTCTCTATCTGCCCAATGCTCACTTCTGGTCCTTGCCACTCACCAGTGGTTGGGTGCACTAAAGAGAAAGGGAGAGTAAAAGAGGAAGAGTCTACTTTAGTACTCACCCCTTCACACACCATCCCTATGCAGAAAGTGTATTTCTCACTCTTGGTTTCTTTTCTGGATCCTTTTACTAATTGGATCAGCAACCTTAGATTACTGACTTGAAATTGGCTGAGTCCTTAGGAGGACTCAAAACATTAAGGTCATGGATACATACCTTGGTATCTCACATTTAAGGGCTATAATCTACTTTTTCAGAAAAGTAGTTTAAACTGATGACCATTTTCTGTACTGTATGTACTGACCACCTCACACCTAATACTGCTTGTATACAAAAATGTAGTCTAACTTTCAAACAATGGAATTTATATGGATTAATATCTTAAGCTAGGAACTATAATTTTTGAACCATGTGGGTTTTTTCTTTTTAAGATTTTATTTATTTTTAGAGAGAGGGGAAGGGAGGGAGAAAGCGAGGGAGAGAAACATCAATGTGTGGTTGCCTCCTGTGCGCCCCCCACTGGGGACCTAGCCTGCAACCCAGGTATGTGCCCTGACTGGCAATTGAACCCAAGACCCTTTGGTTCACAGGCCAGCACTCAATCCACTGAGCCACACCAGCCAGGGAGGAATCATGTGGGGTTTTTAATGAGGGGGAAAAAAAAAAAAAGATTTCATCTTAAAGGCACTTACTTAGATACAATAGGCACTATTCCCTGATGTGTTATTAAATGCAGTGTATTAGCAATATTCAGAATCAAACTATTACCTATAAAACTATTCAAATCAATAGGCTATTCTAGACAAGACTCAGAAGCAAAGATTCTTACTATTCCTACATCCCAAGGTAGCAACAAGGGTTTCCAAGATGGACTCAGTAACAAATGATCCTAATGGCAGAAGAGAACTATCCCATTTTTCCTAACTAGAGTATACCATATAGCCACACATATCATCAAGACAAAACTACCTATATTTGTTCATTATGTAAGTTTCAGTTCTTTGTCAAGAGAATATTTCAATAATACTCACTCTCTTTTTTATTATCGATTTCTTTTTTAAACGTTTTTGCATCATTTCTTTTTCTAAAGTTACCCTCTGACTTGGAGTTAGCTCTTCTTCAATTCTGATTAGCTCTTGTTTGTATGCCTGCCAGTCTGCCTTGTAAGCGTCTTCATATACCTATAAATAAATTTTAAAAAACAATAGTAAGTCAATTAACTGTTGCTGGCCAATTAAACATAGCACATCTGCCAAGAAAAGACAACTGCATGACTTCAGGTAAAGATAGACTGAACTACCAAATGGAAAATGTGCTCTGGGATATTTATATGGACCAAAATCATGTGGGTTTTTTTTTTCATATACATGCTAACCAAGCTCAGAGCAATTAGCCTAGCAATTAGCCTTCAATGTCACTACTCTTCATCACTACCCCCACAATCAGTATTCTCATCATTTATGTAGATCAGAAGGCATGAAGTTCCTTTGTAGACAATGGATGTTTAAAAATAAATAAATAAAACTCTGGGTCATCTGGTCCCTTAAAAGGCTGGCAGTTGTTCCTAACTACAGAATAACTGGTCAGCAATGTTGAAAACCTGTATGCTTACTTTTTTCTGTGAATCAGGAAGTTCCCTCCATAGCTCTGCGATTTTTTTAATCAGTTCTGAATTTCTTGCACCTATGGATTGGAATGAGAAAAGATGCCACAATTTTATGTCTCAGAACTAGCTTTTCTCTAAAGACAGCCAGGAAATCATAATCTATTAACTCTAAACATGTTTCATTAGATACTCTACACCACACACAACATAACACAATGATTTAGCTTTTCTGTAACCAACTAATTTTATGATAAATTTAATACTTTATCCAAATTTTAAAGTCTATTATCTAATAATCAAGGAGTATATCAAACAATACTGAGAAATTGACTAGTAGTATAAGCAGTTGGGCAATCAATTTCATTGAGTACTTTACTTCATATTTTAATCAAATACTTTTTCCAAGTCTTCTACTAATTAAGTTCACAACACCTGAATAAAGAACAAAATACAGTCTTGATTCATATAACACCATCTTGGATTTTAATTACAGAAATACCATTTGCAAACAAACTAAAGTTTTCTAAAATCCATGCATTATTCCCAATTTCCTTCCTTATCTTAACTAAAATGGCGGGGTGTAAATGCTTTACCAAACCACTTATTAGTTTCAACTCCTACATTTTAAAAGATGTGAACACTTAAGCACGTCTCATAAACCAATTCTTTGAGAATTTTTATTATAGCTCATTTGATTTTTAGAAGTATCCTGTGATGTACTGCTTGTGACAAGGCTTTAGAAATCATAAGCAAAGGTTAGCTATTAGCTTTCACTACAACCCCAAATGAAGACCCTACAGCCTCTCTAGGGAGTCATAAAACATGCTATCTCAAAATCTTTCAGTGCAAAAGCACTACTTTGTATAGAGCTTTCAAGTGTTCACAACACTTCCACAGATGTTATTTCACTACAACTTTCATTAATAATTCCTTGAGGCAAGGAGCTAAGCAAGAGATAAAATGATTCATCAATGGTCTTTTAAGCCAAGGGCAACTGGGCCCAAAATGGTGCTATTTTTAAAATACCTTTCCCCCTGGCTGGTATGGCTCAATGAATTGAATCCTGGCCTGTGAACCAAAAGGTCACTGGTTCAATTCCCAGTCAGGACACTTGCCTGGGTTGCAGGGCCAGGTCCCCAGTTGGGGGCCTGTGAAAAGCAAATGATTAATGTCTGTCTGTCTCTCTTTCTCCCTCCCTTCTCCTCTCTCTAAAAATAAATAAATAGAATCTTAAAAAAAATACCTTTCATAAGTTCTCAATTATATTTAGTATTTCTATTTTGTAAAAATAATGTTAGACCTGCTATTTCACAGGCCATCAATGAGAACAGTTATGTTCCTGCAGTCACTGCATCGTTTGGTAGTGGAAATCAACTTTGCAGTTTAACTGCTTAGTGGGCTATTACATCAGAGAAGAGTGCAAGCCCCAAAACTCCTTACCTGGGTTCTGAGCTTTAAATATGGGTAGCTGTTCTTTAGAAAAGCGAACATATGAAGTCATAGGCTTCTTTGGATAACTTCTCAAGGTGGATGAAAACCATCTCGGTATATATACAAAACTACATAAATAAAAAGAAAATAACCAATGTCAAATATATATGCCAATATTCACAAGTACATAAATAGGTCCCAAATAAGATGTCATCAAGATGCTGTATTTCCGACACTTTCGACAAAATAGCTAGTGACATTTAAAATCGTTCCCTAACCAGAGGGAACAGCCTGCAAAACTGAAGCCTAACTCCAAGCCCTTACCTCCTACGAAAGGCAGAAAGTAGCGAACGCACCTCTACTGCAGCTCCTGGGCCCCGCCTCCAGCACGCGTAGATGAAGGCGGGAGACTGTTGGCGCAATTTTACAAAGAACGCCAAACAACCGGGCAGGTGCTCCTAGGCCGGGCAGAGAGGGGCGGGAAGGTGGAAAGTGACCCAAAGCAAAGCATGGGGTACTACTGGATAAGGCCTGCAAAGCTACCACCCCCCTGGCAAGGTCGGGGACTGAATCAAAGGGTTAAGGCAACCCTGACGTCCTGGGCCGGGGCGGGTGTGGGGGCGGGGGGGGGGGGCAGGGGCGCAGAAAGTGGAAGAAACCGTCTACATTGCAGGCTCGTTATCTTTCTTACCTGAAAGGGGAGCGCAGTCGGCTCCCACAGTCCGCGCAGAGATCCGCTCCCGACTTTCCCAGGGCACTCAGCACGCCCCACACACCCCGAAGAAGTGGCATTGCACCCGCCGGAGCAGGTAGTAACCAAGCCGCAATCTCGTAGTGCACCCAAGCCCTACAGGAGAACCCCAACAAAGACAATCTGAACCTGTATTCAACCCTCCGGAGCGTGCAATCAAACCCCTCCACTCGCGAGGCACTATGGGAAACCTAATAACATCCTGTTGGTTGATAGGCTAGGGAAAGGCAGAATTGGCGCAGGCGCCTTCGTGGCTACCCACGTGGGCGGGGCTGCAGAAAAGGTGGAGGAGCTTAGAAGCGGTGGAGGGGAATCGCAGCCCGGCTAGCTGCGGAGGGCCCTAGCCTCGAAGGGGCGTTGTAGAGCCGCCTCTGCCCCCGGCCCCCGCCTCCGCAGTAGGTTCCGCAGTGGGGCCAGGAGGTGTTGGAGGTGCGGCAGCCCTCTTCATCCGGACTGGGCCCTGGTTGGCGTCCGCAAGTGTTGGCCGGAGGGCTAGTACGTAACAGACAATTTACACTCAGAAAACGCGCCGCCCACGCTGCTCTGAGGTCAGATTGGGGGATGCAGAGCGCCCGCAGAGCCGCTCAGTGAATGCAGGAGCTGGAGCCGAAAGTACTGTGGAGGAGTGGGGTAGAGGATGCGGCGTGTTTTCAAACCTAAACATGCATATTTCCGGGCCTACTGCAGCGCCCAATTCAGTATCTGTGTGGAGCCCATGAATCTCCGTTTTTAATGAGCTCCTCGAGGTTCGACAAATTCTAATGTCAGTGGTCGTGGGACTACATTTAAAGCAACAGTAATCTAGACTATCGTCCTGCAGCGAACATTGACCTTCAAGCCTAGCACGCTACCTTGCTTAATTTGTAGGCAGGACACTTAGGCCAGTTAGTTGCCTGAAGTCTCGAGTTCTAGCCCCAACATTAACATTAACGTCTTGATCCAGGAACGTCGTGTCCCCTCTCTGAGATTCAATTTTTCCCATTGCAAATGAGGGTTTATATTAGATCAGTTTTCCCAACCAAAGCCCTGAGAACTTGTGTCAAGCAAGTACACTTTGAGATAATTGATTCATGTGCTGTATAACATGAAAAAAATTGGGAAGACCTAAACTAAAGATATCTAAGGACACTTCCAGCTTTTACATTATAGTCACTTCAAAGATAGACATCTCCTGAAACAGCGTTTCCTCTGTTGGATAGCTGGAATTGTTCGAAAATTCTTAACCTATGTGATAATTGAGCTGAGAATCTACTTCCTTTCTGTAGCTTTGAAACATTGGCCCCTTCGGTGCTACAAAGGAGTGCAGATCACTTCCTTTAAGTGGTAAGGAATGAGCGCCACTTCCCTTATCATACTCTTAGGGTTGAAAGGGACCTTCTAGATCATCTGTGTTCAAATCTCCAGTCCTGACACGAAAGAGATTTTTTTCCTGAGTTCACAGGATGTACAGCACAAGCCCCCTAACACAGGTGACAGACACAGCATTTCCCCACCCCCAGTACAATTTAGTGGCACAGAAAAAGAAATAAGTAATTACAACTTAGTACTAAGAGAGAAGTATATATATAATTCCATTTTGGAAATAATTTTTTTCTAGTTTTGTAGAATGTTTTTGTTCTTTCAGATGTTTGACGTGTTAATCTTCTTTTGGATTATTAAATCTTTCTGTTGTTTTTAAGCGTCATTCTGATAGATATTGCTATATAGTTCCTTATCAATCTGATCTGTCACATGACTGTTTTCATCAGATACCAATATTCTTTAAAACACATTTACACTGCAGTGATTTTATTCCAAAAGCAGTAATTACAAAGAAAATATAATTCTACCTACTTTCTCATTCTTTGAATGAAGACATATGGCTTTATTTATATTTACTTTATAAAACATGAAAACTTTCCATAGCCTTTCCCAGAGTTCTGCCCTTTATTTGTTTTAAAAATTCATCCACTCTGATGACTTCCAGTTATATTTTATATTGAACCTGTATTTTATATTGAAGCCAGACCTGTCATTTTAGTCCCGTATCTATGCAACCACTGTCTTCTTGACATCCGTAGCACCATGCCCCACATATACTTCGATTTTCCTGAACAGAATTCACTATCTTTCCCTAACTGGAACAACTCTTGTTAAGAGGTACCAGTATCCCATTTGACTCATCCAAGCCTATAACTTGATAAATCATTTTATAATCTCCCCCACTGATACTCCTCCCCTGTCAACCAACTAATGCTAAATATTGCTGATTCCTCATTAAGCTCTCTAGTAGGTTATTCCCTCCTCTCCAACCTATTTTCAGGCTAATAGTGTGTTGGTAAATCAGCTCTTCAAAATAAAAGACCTAATTTGTACTGTTTGCCAACATTTGTGGTTTAAATACTCCCAGCAGGCTGACTGATCATAAAATACCAACCTGGTGTTGCTGAACCTCAAGTTGGGCAGACACACATAGTTGGCTCTCCAACCCAGTACCAGCCAGCTCCTGCATGCCACCCGTTCAGGCTCTGCCATCTTCACCCAAACTCTGACAGCAGTGTTCCTACTTTCAGTCTTCCCTCCAAACCGTATTCCACATTGTCACCAGGTCATTCTTCCTAAAAGACAAATCCCATTTATTCATTTGTTCATTAAGTATGTATGGAGCACCAGTTTTGTGCAGGCAGGCAGTGACAGAAATAAGAAGTTCTTATTTCTGTAGTTGAAACCTTCGGAGACTCCTGGTTACTCACAGAATCAAGTTTTAAATCCTCACACATGGCACACAAGTCTTCCATGAGCTGGCCTTTGTTTCCTCTATAGCTTCATTCCTCACTTCACCTTTGCTTAAAATAATTTATTAAATACCTATTTCTTCCGATATAACACATGAAGCCACTTCATTTGGCTCTGAGTTTACTATTGCATTTTGTGTGATATTCCAAAGTTATGGAAATAACTGGTTTAGAAGTTAGGCAGATCTAGGTTCAAATCCTGCTGTTGTTGCTTACTAGCTGTGTGACCTCACCAAAGGACAATCATTCTGACCCAGAGTTTTTCCCTCTGGGAAATAGGACAATAATAGTTGTTGAGATTAAATCAGAAAATTTAGGGTTGTTGAGAAGATTAAATCAGAAAAACGCATAAAAAGTTCTTAGCAGAGTCTCTGGCACATAATAAAGGCTTAATAAACAGTGGCTATAATTATCCTTACATTATTCATAACAATTATTAGTAGCTTCTAAATAATTATAAGTGTAATATAAATTGTCCCCAAACAAGTCAGATTTGTATCACAGCCCTGTCATTACCTCTCCCTATTAAGTAACACACATATACCAAAAATATACCTCTCTTTTTATTGAACTTTCAACATTTCTTAGTATTTGAGTATAAATATTATGGTATGTAATAAAAAATGAAAATTAGCCCTGGCTGGTGTGGCTCAGTGGATTGAATGCTAGCCCATGAACCAAAAGGTCGCTGGTTTGATTCCTGGTCAGGGCACATGCCTGGGTTGTGGGCCAGGTCTCCAGTTGGGGGTGTGTGAGAAGCAACCGATCTGTGTATCTCTTGGATGTTGATGTTTCTCTCCCTCTCTTTCTCCCTCCCACCCCCTCTCTCTAAAAATAAATAAATAAAACCTTAAAAAATTAAAACACACCCTTAGGTTGTAATCATACTTTAATATTGTCAGAACATTTTTATATAATTTTATTTGATTGTATGATTTACAAACTGAAGAAGTAAACAGAAAAGGTATTATCATGATCACGATTCCCAATTTACATGTGAGAGAAATTAGCTTCAGAAAGCCCAAGTCATGATGTTACAATAGTTAACAAACAGTGGAAGTGAAAACCTGGTCTTCCAATTCACTGTCTCATGAATAGGAATAAAATAAAATTTTATTCCTATACTTCTAGGAATAAAATTATAGTGAAAACATCATATTCAAAGATAATTTACACATCAGCAATTACTTAGCACTATGATAGGCACTGGTTATGACACAAAAGGGTAAGATATTGTTCCTGTGGAAACAAAGTGTAAACATGCAAAAATACAAAAATGTAATAATTCATTCCAGCTATACAGGGTAAAAACTTATAACCTGACTATTCCCTAGGTTATCTTTCCTGTAAATTTTAATGAAATGTGTAATTTTTTTCCTTCAAACCATTTTTATTCATTTGGGGGTCTATTATCACTTCACTGGAGTTTGCCCTTAAAATCAGTATAAAAAGGATGGAAGGGAGAGAAGAATTAGAAAGATCCATTGCATGTTAATAGTTCCCAGATATCCAAATTAGTTTATTTCTCAATTAGAACAAGTCTGCATGCAGCCTTAATTATTAAGAGCATATCAGTTATTTTTAGCCAGCTGCTGTAGCAGCATTATACAAAATAAATATAGCTTTCTATTTTAGAGCTGATTCTGAGTCAGCAGGAGGTAGGACAAGAAAAGAGGATAACTATAATTTTATGCAAATTTATAAAACCTACATTCATATTGCTGGGTATTCCAGAAAGCTGACTGGAAGAGTGGAAGAAATCTACAATGAGTATATTAATGGAATAATGCTATTAATAAACAGTGTAACCTACAGTGTTTGGCCTCACATTACTGTAAAACACCTGGTCAATACAAATAATTATAATTCATTCCTCAACTGAGTACCCAAACATTTTAATGTATTATCTCTAATCTTTTTACCCATCCTATAAGGTGGAATTATTTCTATTGTACAGATATAAAAACTAGTATTCAGAGAGATACATAGGAAGGAGTAATTTCCTTGTTGCATCTTGTTAAAAATTTCCACCTATGAATCCAACTTGCAGCTTAAAATTATATTTGACTCTATGCAATATATGGAAATTAGTCATGAAGCTAGTTCTGTTTTTCTAACACATTAACTTGTTTTTCTATCCCCATTAAGACTCTTTCTTGACTTCTTTTTTAATGAGTGTTAAAACACTCTTGTTTAAATAACATCTTAAGATCCTTTATTCACTCATTCAGTCAGTCATTCAGTAACACTTAGGCTTAAGTTGTTAAAAATTACACTCACATGTGCATGGGTGTGCATGTATAAAAAGTGTGTAAAGCAATATACACATTAGGTTTAATAGTGATTATACCTGAGTATTGCAGGCGTGATAGATGGTACTCACTTTTTACTTTACATAGATCTATACTGTTTTATATTTTTCCAAAATAAAACAGTAATATTCAGCTTTTGTAATAATTTTAAAAAACTCAGTTCTCAGTAGAAGCCAGT